ACCAGAAGGGTGTATAATCCACTCCTTTTACTCGGCTCAAAAGTCCTTACCTACCCTTTAGTTCCACAACCGTTGCTTCGAGTCTGTTTCAAAAAGTCCGGTAACATATTAAAAATATTGTAGTCAGACGAGTAGCATTACAAAGTAATGAAGTACTTCATTTTAGATAGTAAAGTTTTAAGTTTTTTTTTTCAACAATAGTGATTTTACAAACACTGTATGTGGAAATAATGTTATCCTAAAAATGTCAACGCGATAATCTAACTCTTGCTATACACGGCACAAAGTGTCTTCCGAGACAATGGCTGCTACTTACTTAATATTCCTTTTCAATTCCATAACATCTCTAAAAGGAGGGACATAAACAAGGTCCTTCTCATAACCCCGTAATAAGAAATCGCAAGTAGTACTAAGCATGAAAACTAAGCAGTTTTAGCAGATATTGGTCGGTTTCTCCACCCCGACCAGTCCGACGATTAGGTAGCTTTGTGTTCAGATATACCCTAACATCACTGTGAAAATGTGAGGATGCACCATCTACGCTCATGTCCATAAATTAAGGATAATGCAAATCAGGCAAAGGAAGAGTTAGAAACAAAACAAATTTGACTTATTTGTAAAGCTTATTTATTAAAAGGTAAAGAGCAAAAAAAAGATGCTATATGTTTGATATTATTAAAAAAATAAGCGATTTTTTCTCCCTGGAGCAAATTACAAAAAACTTATTTACAAAAAACCAATATTACATGGTTGGTATAATTGTTAATACATTGCATGTCTCCCAGACAATGCTATATGGTCTGTACAACGCCTAGGCATGCTGAGTATCAAATTATCGATCTGATCTTGGGAGATATTACACCACTCAAAAAGCAATGCTCTCCGAAGTTCCGGTAGACATGTAGGAGGAGGTTGACGGGCTGAAACTCGTCGGCCAAGCATGTCCCACACGTGCTCTACTGGATTCAAGTCCGGTGAGAATGCTGGCCAGTCCATACGGGTGATATCCTCCGGTTGGAGGCATTCGCTTACGATGTTTGCACGGTGAGGACGAGCGTTGTCATCCACAAACACAAAATGTGCGCCCATGGCGCCCCGAAACAAGCGTACATGTTGTTCCAGAATGACGTCCCGATACATTTGGCTTGTCATGGTTTCAATTTGAACATGCAGGTCAGTTCTGCAACCCTGAATAATTCCACCCCAAACGAGCACTCCTGCACCACCGTAACGGTGTCGTTCAATGATGTTTTCTTGGTGGTAACGGGTACCTGGAGCTCTCCATATGAAAGTCCGGAAAGAATCAGACTGCAAGCTAAACCTGGACTCGTCGGAAAACATCACACCAGCCCACTGTTGCGGTGTCCACAATGCATGCTCTCTACTCCAGGCTAACCGCAGGCGACAGTGAGTTGCAGTAATTGGAAGGCATTTGACAGGCCTAGGAGCATATAGACCAATCTGCCCTAAGCGTCTGTACACGGTCTGCCTTGAAATTGTCGTACCAGTGGTTGAAGAGAGCTGACGAGGTAGGTCTGAGGCTGTGCTCCGCCTGTTTCTTTTGGCAGTATCTGCCAAATAACGGTCCTCATTCAGTGTTGTAAATTTGGGGAGACCTGCGCTGTAACGTCTACTCACATTACCATCATCGTGGAATCGTTGTTAAAGCCTGGAGATGACACTCTGGGCAATTCCAAATTCGTCTAATACTTCCACTTAGGTACGCCCACATTCCAGACGGCCGATAATTCTACCACGTAAAAAATCATCCAAATGCGTCCTTTGTGTCATAACTATTCGGTATTGCACTGAAATGCTTATAAAGCGCCTGCGAACAATTTTACTTCTTTGCCTGTATTCCTTATATATCACTCTCTTACACTGTCGTCATTGTGACGTACCATCGGTGTCATCTGGTTACTTCCTGAAATTTGCATACGATTCTTGAAGATGTGTGTAGTGATTTTGCAGGTGATTTATATATTTTAGAGTTCGATTTCCGCGTGACTCTGAATTATCCTTAATTTATGGACATGAGTGTAGTTGAAGGACTAAAGTTCTCAGATTCCGTTTGCAACAAAGGCTTTAGCCAGGTCTGCAGCATCTGAAGGAAGGACCCCCCCCCCTCAATAACGGTTTGTTCTTCAAAGAAGAAAGTCCCATAACGTTTATGAGACATGGCACAAAACATTGGGCTTTGGAGAATCTCGCCCATGTTCTACACTGTTATGCAGGTTTTGTGTGCTCCAAGTTCTACACTTGTGTCTGTTTACCTTCCCATTTACATGAAATGCTGCCTCGTCCGAGAAAATTATTTAATTCACAAAAGCATCATCGTTGTCCCGCAATGCACAGCAAAATTGGAATCTATGGTCTGTCTTTAGGATATAACTTTCGCACCAACAGTAGCCTGTATGCTTTCATGTTTCCTTTTTACTCAAAACAAGTCACAGTCGTTGTTGACATTTCTTACTTATGCGAAGCTTGGAAGACACTTTCTGCCGTATGTGGCAAGAGTTGAATATTGCATCGATGTTTCTGTGATCACACGTTTCCAACTTACCGTTTTTATAAAATGTTGTTGAAAAAACTTACAACTTTACTCTCTAAAATGATGGTTTACTTCATTACTTTGTAATGCTACTAGTTTGGCTACAATAAATTTTTTAAAAGTATTCCTGGAGTTTTGAAACACGCTGCATTTCCAGTTACAGATGTATTTTAAATCACAAAAATATTCATGTTTTGGTAATGCGAAATTAAAAAGAAATTAAATTTCATCAAATAATGAAATCTAACTCTTAATGTAGTTAAGTAAAGGTAGCTACGTTAAGAGTATATAATTTAGTATACCCAAACATAACTACATTAAGGTAACTACAGTAAGAGCATATTAAGTAAAAGCCCCGATATGTCCTTTACTTATATTTAGGAAACCTGTTCTACAAAAATATTACAAGTTTGAATAAAAGACTGTAAAACGGAATCAAAACACTTTTGCGACGTCTATACGCACGTATGTATCTCACATAACTCAATAACCATTTGCCGCATAACCTTAAAATTTTGCTATGTGAGAGATATTCACTCCCCCTTTTATTATTACAAAGCATATGAGGGCTATCTGCCCAAGAGGAACATCTTCAGTTCCAGTTTGAGAGGCTTGTTTTGGATCTGTTACATGATTAAATGTTCTAGTATAGCGATATTTAAGACAAAACTTTTCTGCTGTTCTGAAGTATTCCTTAACTCTAACCTGAAAAAATTCAGTTTATGATATGTTGCAATGTGCTAGTCTAGATGCAAAACTTAACCAGACTTCTGCTAGAACTATTGATGTCAGCAAACACTAAATAATACACCTCACTACCCAGTTCTATATATACCAACACACATAATACCCGAGTTATATTTTTATTCCTAGAATATTTAAATTACTCCGAAGCTTAGTTTCTTTTATCAATTCACAACAAGAAGCTAAAATAAGTTTAATCTGAATTATTTGTAAATTCACTCTTTATGTATCATGATTTGCTACAATTTCCTCAAGGTATTTTGAGAAAAGACAAAAATTTGACCTTACATGACTTTTTATAAACCTTCCTTAATTACAAAATTAAGAATAAAATGTTTACTTATGTTAAAAGCTGAATTATGTCTAAAATTCTACATTAAATTTTGATCTGTGTACTTTGTTTCTATATAACGCATCAATACATAGGATAGAACCTTGAATTTAATACTTTATAAACTGACAATATCAGCTAAACATTATCCTAATTCAGAAGAAAGTTAAATTTGATCAGTTGCTTTTAGAAAATTATGCTTTCTATTAAATATATTGCTATCCAGGAAAAATGCAATCATAAATTATATTAATAGGCAAAATATATCCAGATCATTCTGGGCAATAATCAGTCCCAGTCACAAGACGCATAAAATGCAACTGCTACATGTTGTAGCATATTTATTACCATTTTGTTTAAAGGCATACATGAATATAACATAATACTTAAAACTTAGCTTACATGAAAACTTACATGAACTCAGATACTTGGCTTACATATAACTTCAGAAAAGAAACTTCAATTTAGATCATCATTCACCATTTACTTCTACAGTATTGAAGTAACACCAGATTTATTTGAAATGAACAGCTCATTGCTCTACTTAGAGGTGAGCTGAAGATGCTGCAAAAATTTAAATGTCAACATGTTGCCAGCATAAACTATTAAATTTTGAGTTTTCCGGTTTTTACTCGCATTAAAAAATGAAGATTGTCTTCCATTCTTCTAAGAGCTATTATACATAGATTCTTCTTATCTTCAATACTCCTATAAAGATCTTAAATATTCGTACGCAAGGAATGCTCAAATTCTGACTAAAATAATTAACTCCATGTCTACAGGAACTAATGCTTTCTATACAGGTTACAGCAATATTGGAGATTTTCTTTAAAGACTAGTAAATTACACTGAAGGTCTTGTCAGCGTACGTAACCATACAATTCAACAATTCAGAAAATTGCAATTCTTGTGTATATTCTTTTAGCAAAAGCTTAAAGAAATTTTATCCCAAACTTTAAAACTTAAATTGGTAACGATCCCTTTAAAACTGGGATAAAAATATATACCAAATTTTCATTAATTAATAGTCATCGCAGAAATACTTCAGGAATAAATAAAAGTTTTCAAAGGCACAAAAAAGGGCGATGCATATTTTCTTGAAGAAAACGAAAAGTTTCAGAATTTGATACCGGTTCTTTCTGCATGTGATAAAAATCGTGCTCTTAATTTATTGGTGCAACGGATGAAAGAAAAATTTGGGTGCAAAATAAATCTAAACAAAATAATAACATGCAAATACAATGCTAAATACAAGACTCTTTAAATCGCTGGAACTGTCAGTGTCAGGGTGCATACGGAACTAAAAACAACGAAAATAACATTGAAATCAGGATAAAAAACATACCCAGAAAGGCACTAAAAAAGGTTACAAACCTGCTGAGTTTTGCTGTGTCAGACCTAGAGAAAAATAAACCTTCTTTTAATAATGTGGCATCAAACCAAAGAATAAAGAAACAATCATAAACACAAAATTAAAAAAATCATTCCAAAATTATATTTGACAGTTCCACAGCACTTTGCCGGTAAAATAATAAAACAATACTGATTGAATTTTACTTAAATAAAGCATTGTAAATAAATCATAAGTTACAAAATATCAAAAAAGCGAAATAAAAGTGTCTATGGTATTCGGGAAAAATTTGTGCTTACACCAGTTATATACTCCTTTGTTGACAACCTAGCTGAAAAATACAAGTAGGAAAAATTAAAAAATTAATTTTTACAAGTTCGACCATTAGGTATTAGTATAAAAAATATGTGAGAATGTACAAATATAATAATATATAAATGACTTCAGAACATTTTTATCCAATTTTAAAACGAGAACGTGTTGTAAATTTTACATATATTCAAATTTCTAAAAATTTTTTCTGATTCTAAGCTCTTCAACCATGTAAGTATTATTTGTTACACCCAATTTAAGAAAAATAGTTTAATTGACATCAAGGTATAATCTTCATTTGTCAAATCCTTTTTTTTTTTTTTTTTTTTTTTTTTGCAATTAATTTTCATTTGGTCAATAGAAACCTGATAAGTTTCTACTAGTGTTGGGAAAAGAAATTTTAACTTGAAAAGAATCACCTTATAAAAAACTGAGCATATAAAAATGTCTTCTCACTGGACAGCTATAAAAATATACAATTCCTGAAATAGAAATTGAGTTAATGCTTTAGAAAATATGTTTTTATGAGATACTTTGAAGACTTACTACTCCTATATATAAAATGCATGGGGAAACTGAAATCAGTCACGCCTCCAGCATCTTCCGTTATTAGAGATTGAATTTGCAGCACAACCTTCTACTACTTACAAACAAACCGGTCATTTAGGACAGAAGAGCTCCTTTCAATAATTAAGCCAACATAGTAAATAACTGAGGAAGGAATTTAAATTCCAAAGGCTAATATCAAACATTATGGAAACTAAGAAGAATGATATTTGAGAAGTAAAGCACATTAAATTTTATTTAATGTAATTATTCTAAAACTTGCTGACTTAATTACTACAAAAAAAAAGCAGATCTATTTTCTTACAAAATTAAACTGAGCCTTAAAAATATTATGCATATTTTATGAATTATTATTATCATTATTATCATTTCTTTGCGAAAGGTTTTAAAAGTTTAAAATAATGCAAAAATTTAATCTCTAATAAAGGGCTGTAATAGGCTCAACATTTAGTCTTAATCGAATCAGTCTCAAATCTTCATTTAAAAACCAATTCATATGATTAATTTATACCACCCAAATACAGATTCATTACAGCTATCTGAGTTCTTTTACAGAGAAATGATCAGCTGGCTCCCAGACATTTTTGTTACCTTCATTTATAAATTTGCAAAGGAAATTAGTTTCTAAAAATTTAGTAAAATTTTAAGATTGCCTGAATTACAAACACTTCTTACAAGTAAACATTTTATTTAAACGCTACTCAATAATGCAACTTTAAATGAAACTTTTAGTTTCGAACACTGTTTCTTGAAAACCCTGAAGATAAAAATTTATGTATTAAAGGAGTTCATAAAGTTGCAATTTCTATAACTATAAAGCAATGAAATGAATATTTCTCAATCCAGCTAAGAGTCAGCAAATCTTACAATAAGTCAAAAAAAAAAAAAAAAAAAAAAAAAAAAAAAAAAAACGACACAGACCTAAATATTGGAAGATTTTTTTTTCCAAGAATGTATCTTGACTACAAAAATTCCAGTGAACAGTGGATGATTACAGGGCAAAAAAGGAATATGAATACGATTACCATCAGCGGCAAGAATCATTTTATTTGATAAAGATAGAACCATTTTATCCTGAAACGTCGATATAAAACACAAGAGCATCAAAAGTCACCACAGGGATTATGACCCTTTAACCATAATATCAGATACCCAATTAAGAGTATATCTGATACATGCAACACAATGACATATGCAATTCTGGAGAATCGACTGGGAATGAATACCCAACTCTAACTAGTTCCATTTCAAAGTATATAGGGCAGATGGAAAAACCCTTTGAGTATCCACCCCATATATCAACATTACAAAACCACTATCTCCTTAGCTTCGTAATGTTTAGATGGCATTCATGGGGGACTATCAGGTCTACAAACGTTTCTACCATTAGGTGAATATTACGGGCTCAACGTTTCTGACGAGTTAAACCGTTAATCCTCTATATTAATTGCGATGGGTTTCGATTCTTTTAATAAGACTGACAGTGTGCAGCTACGTAAGTACCATCTGAAATTAGAATCTTGCCATGATCGCCATATCGCAAAGTTATCGAGTACAAGAGATGTATAAGCACACTGTGGAACTCTGAAATCCTACATACCTGGAATAAGTTACAGACCCGTAAGAAATGAATAGTCAGTACCTAGAAAATACTACCACATATTCGTGGCTCGCGTTTCCTGCTGTTCTGTATTCCTGTGATGGATCTGTTTAGCATTAGGATGGTATACCGGTCTATTAGTTCAGTCGTACAAAATGTTTGGATAAAAGTATTTTAAAATGCCTTCTCCTCGTAATCAATTTATTAGTCGTATAATCTGCAGAAATTTTATTTATATATTAAACAATCGCATTGAAATAAATTATGGTGATGCCATTTTCAAGCCGCACACAAATAACATTATAGCATATTTTTTCTATTAAAATGTACAGACTATGCATTATATCCAATAAATATATCTGTCATTCAAATGATAAAGTTCAGATGAGTTTATAAAAATTTCCCAGTACATAAGGAATCTAAATATATAAAGCTATGAGAGTGTTTAGACTTCATCCCACACCAACTCTTTAATGATATTAAAAACGAAATAAATTTTCAGTTTCCATACATGATTTAAATACTTAAGGTAAAGCTACACAACTTAGATTCATTGTACAATGCAAAACCTAAGAGAACTTCTAAGTTAAAAAAAAACTACGAAATCGTGAAGTTAGCAAGCGTCTGTTACAACAATAATGGACTGTTTTTAAGGTCATGCGATCACACTAAAATGCATGATTACATAACATTGTTTGGGGGAATTTCTGACTGCTGGTTTAGTAAATGAAATAGATTCCAACGATGAAATTTGCGTCCAGAAAAACTCGTTCAGCTTTGCTTACTGCACATAAAAAAATGCATTGAGAGTCACCATATAAAATGCTTTGCAGCCACTAACTTATAAAATGCTCCCCAATGTTATGCACTACGTTTGTTAAACATATTTATATCCTCTTTACACTGTCATTAATTTGTATTCATTTGGATACTTAAGATCCATATGGGCAAAAACATAATGTCCACCAAAGTTTTGTATGTCGTTGCACTCTTATTTCATCCAAATACACATATACGTTTCTCTTTAGAATATATGCGGTCGACTCATGCGGCTTACCACAATATCCAAACTTGTATAAGTGAATGGCCTGTTAAGACCAATATATATTCCATCTATTTGGATACAAATGAAGCTGTGTGTCCGAAAAATACTAAAGCAATTGCTGTAACTTGGACAGTAAGCTTCCTCTGAAGTCATCTGCAACTTAAGGCGCAATACTAGTTAAAATGCCAAACCATGCATTAACACCTGTACCTAAGAGTAATGTTTTCCTGTACTATATTATACAAGTAAACATTATCAAAAGTTTGCTTTAAATATGGAATGCATTTGCTTACCAGTTTCTAAAAGACTGGCGAGTTGGACCAACAGCTATTCAACACAGCTGTCCAACATTAAATTCTAAATCTTCCTTAATTTATACAATACATGTACCGAAGTTGAGGAGTTATTCGCCAAGACAGTTTAAAATAAAGAGTCATTTTAACAAATGTGCTATATTTTACACTCGGAAATAAATACGATCATAAAGTAAAATCGGAAAGCACAGCGAAAGTTACCTGTGATGTTATCGCAGAGAATACGGGAGGTGATGATGCGTCCATAAGGGGTAAAAAGCCCCTCTAAATCCTGCTGCGTCATGGACTTGGGGAGGCCGCTTACGTAAAGATTAGCTCCCTTTATTGCTTCGCTGCTTGGCCGCGCATACGAAACCTGGAAAGAAAAATTTAAGGAAATCATGAAGTATGATTTAATATTTCTCAGGGGGTTTCAACGTCAATGTTAGCTCTTCAAATATTTCAAATATGAGAAATTTCTCTTAGTGTTAATAATATTACTTGATTTGACTACATTTATATGTAACATAGGCCAAATACCTAATTATAAAAATTCGTACAAAAAAGACAAATGGATGTACTTTTATTCAATTCAAAATGGTAAATATAAGTTGAATGGGAACTTCATGCATTTAACATAAGTTGTCTGTGCAATACATGAATATTAGTAAAGCATATATAGGTAAATTACATACATGCACCATGCATTCAGCACTTACATGTTTGTGCACGTAGATGTTATGAGATAATCACTAAATTTATCTGGAGAAATATACGTACTTTTCTAGACAAACACGCTGTACGTATTACAAATTTCAGATTTATCAAGTGATAAAAGTATTTTAGAGTCAGAAAGTTACTTTTTATAATGCCGCTGTTAATTATACGTTTAAAGTTAGTTCTGTGAAGCATTTTGAAACAAACTATGCAACCGATGCCAAATTTTATCACACTGAAACTGATTCAAGACTCGCTTTGACATATTTTACAAATGTATAATTTCGCCCAACACTGCTGATGCGGTGGACGCTCGTGAAAATCCGCGGACAATCACAATCGGCCAGACCACTGGTTCAGAGTGTTGCGGTGATGGCGGAGAGATGGAGCTAAAAGGTGAGTATCCCTAACAAACTTCCATAAGGAAACATTACATGAGATTAAATGCACAGACCTGGTTGGCCACTAAAAAAGCATGTCATTTTTGTCCTGCAAGTCCTCACCAACTTTTGGGTTAATTTTGATTGTAATTTGATTACATCCTTGTGGGAAATCTTAAAATATTCACGAAACAGTCTCTGAAATAATGACCAAGTCAAATGCCTTATTTAAACCTTTGATTACTAACGGGACATAGATGTCCCATAAAAGTTAAAATTACTGCTGGGTTTAAAAGTACTTAAAACTCACTGTAACGTATCCCAGCAATATAATCAAACCAGTTGTGCATGTCCATCTTTTGTTTCCGGCAAATGCCATTGTTTTGTCTGCCAAATGCCATTAAAAAGTTTCAGTCAAAGGGTTAAAGAAATTTTCATAACCATTTTCATTCATCTGTATCACTATCTGCAGAATCACCTATCATATCCAAGTAAATTCTTCAAATCACGCGTAAGTCTTCAGCAGCTAGCAAAAGTGAGTGAAGCATTAAACATTTCTGAAATGCATAAAACTATTTTCTCCATTTCAGAGCAATAAAATTCAGTGTTCATTGCATAGTTTATTATGCATTTTTAGAATTTCATGACCTGTATTTGCGAATATAACTTGGAAAACCACGAAAACATCGAAAAATTCGACCAATTTTTAGATGAGCCTACAGCTAAGATAGATGCATTTGAAATGATGGAAGTACATATCGACTTTAACAATTTTTAGTATGCTTGATAACAACTGTTATAAATTATTAAACGACTGTATGACAAATTTAAAAAGAGATTTCACCAAGCCCTAAAGGCATCGCATTAAAAACATGAGCATTAAGTAGAACTGCACAAGCATTAATATATATAACTTAGCTTTTACATGAGCTGTAAATCCAGTTATATGCCATAAGATATCCCAATCACTTATTTCTTTTAAACTTTAGATTCATTTTAATTAGCATAAGTAAAAATTAAACATTTAAATGATAGAAGCAGAATATAATACGTATTTTAATAAATTCTCAATTTATACGAATGCATTTTCGCAAATTCTTAATTAATGAGTAAAGCACATAACTGCTAACAGCTTAAGGAAATGGCTACCCTTTTGGAGACCTTTCTGTAGGAAAACTACCTCGTTATCACTTTACAGACCAAGAAATTCACGGTGATAATCATGAAGATGTTACATGAATCATTCACAAAGATTCTGATACAGATCAAAATATACAAGTGTTCAACAGATCCACGTAGCCGCTGATAGGCTCTATCCTGATATACATTCATCATTAAATTCAATATCATGCCACTGTGTATCATTTTGTGAAAAGCTAGCTGATATATTAAAAGTTAGTGTCAGGTATAGCCTTATTCTTTATTCGCTTATTACTTAGACGAAACATCGTGCTATTAGTATTTTTCCCCCATCTTCATGGTAGATTTCAACAAGATTAGTTAAATTTTTAAGACTAAAAAGTTTCTTGCTTCGCTTTTGCTTGAAATGGCTGGCATGCTAAGGGATTTAAAATTTCATTCCACAGTTTTTCGAAATACAGCGCTGGCCATTTTATTTAGTAAAGGTTTATTTGATTACGCCAAAACACTTGCGGATCGTGGAGATGCACAAGGATATAGCCACTGCGGGTTTTGACCCTCTTTAGATTTGCTGGAAAGCAAATGGCGGTGTATGGATTAGATGCGCTGTCGTTAAACAGAGATGGAACGGGGCTGGTTCGAGCTGGTGAGTAAGAAGGTGCTGGTAGGAAATGAGAGAAGTCAAATTTCTCTGAAACCAACTACAGCGATTCAGAGAAGATTATTTTCGTGGAAATTACAGCACAGGAGTGGTGGAGAATACATGTTATGAAAATACAAACAAACTGAAAAATCAGCAGATGGAAGACACATCCAATATAAAAGAAATGAAAATAAACATTTACAGAATATGTACAAGGTGGTAGCATATGCAAAGTTGTTTCCTGATGAAGTCCAACTTCATCGTTGAAAAATGTGGAGCAGTAGATTCATTAGATATACTAGTAAGCTGGATTGTGAAAAAAACATGGGAGGTCTCTTGAATAGCTGTTCAATTCATAATTTGCTAATTTGGCAATAAAAGTAATTTGAGTTCATAACTTCGGTGAAAATGTTATGAGAACTTGTTACAATGTAGTGTTGAGAATGCGGAGGTCAAAATTGATACAGTTTCTCACAACCAAGACGAGTTGGTGATGAAACTGAGAAGTTAGTTTGGAAGGTACATATTTATCCTTAGAGTTTGGGTGCCGTATCGCAAACTGGTGCTCCAAGAAACAATACTAGACGTATACGAGGAAACGTATAGGATTCCTTTTGTTTTGTGGTTAGGTTATTTAATTACGGCAAAGTCTCGAGGGCTATCTGCCTAAGGGGAGGGATGCCTTCGTGGAGGACATTCTAATGGAAACTGGCTCGTATACACGTTACACATGGGGAAAACACCCATGCAGCCAGCCCGTTCGCGGGATTCGAACCTCGGACCGAACTACCTGTGCTCAGAGACTTTACTACTTGGCCTCTGGTGGGCCTTTCTATGAGTGTGGGAGTCACGAAATTAGTAGAAAGACGGCAAAAGATCACCGAACAGAATGGGAGATATTCAATTAAAGCTCTTCTTTTGTATAGAAAAATTGAATTTGACAGAAAAAAAAATTAATTTCCTGCCAACCTGATATTTTAGAATGTATTCTGTTGAGAATTTATAGGAACAGATAATGTGTTCTGTTATTGTTCATAACGACCACGAATTTTTCATGCGTATATTAAGGATATGCATGGTAAGGCAATGAAATTCTTCGCACAAATGTTTGTAGGAACTTAACGTTTGCATCGCTTATTTGAATTATATTAAATATCTGAAGTCTGAAAACTGTTAAAAAAAATATTAATCATTAAAACACCAGTCACATTTGCTGTAGCATCAACAAAGCTGGTGGGCTTATTGTTATGCGGAGTTTGGATTTTCGTCCAATGACGTGTATATGGTCATGTATGCGGCATTTACTTTGTTTAATGCATATATGGCATGTTCAGCAGCTCATCCAAATTGATTCGTAGATATTCGTAGATATGATAGAGTTGGAAGTAGTTAATTATCAATTTGTAAATTAAGCTCGACTTAATTTTTGAGATATCCTGAAACAAATGTGACAGCATTTTCCTGCATTTAGTTTGACCTCTCATAGTTTGTACTAATGCGTTGTCCAAACTGCAGGTTGTCAACTGCATGTTGGGGCATGATTGATCTGAAAGCACTAGAGCTCTACCGTAAGAAGATGGATACTTTCTACAATAAACTGGTTATTAACGTTGTGCATAGAGAAAGCCACAAACGTCAATGGTCTGATAGCTCGGACTTAAACCTGGGTCAAACTACTTTTGTTTAGCTGTCTTCGCTGGATTACTAGTCGGCGTTTCATGGGTTGGTTGATTTTTTAATGGCACAAAACCTTGAGGGTTATTATGCGCCAGACAAAAGGCGCTTCATGGGCTTTCCCCAGTACCTTACAGTATAACTACTCATTGAAATGAATGACAAAAAAATTATTCCGTTATATGCATTAGTATATCGAATTTCAGTAGATTTAGAGAAAAAGATTACGCAACCATCCGGACGGCCTTTTATTCTAGTTAGTCCGTACGTATGGAGTTTTCTATTGCAGTTAACAGTGTGCAAATAAAATTATATAAGTAAGAACCACTTCAGATCTTTTTGCGCGGCTTCAGGTAAGTTTTAAAAGATGCTTTTTATAGCCAAAATCGGCTTTAGTCCAGAAGGGCTATTAGTCTCGAAACGGCATTTTGCGTCGAATCACTATAAACAGATGCATCACTTTCGAAATTGTTGCCGGCAAATTATTATTGCTCTGTATTATATTTAAAGACTAGAGCCACGAAATTTTGAATAACATAGTCCTCTATTCTAACATGGGCAACTGGTAGAGACTGGAATTTGTTTTATAGCAGATTTCTTATTTTGTAACAGTTTTCATGAATTTTTGATTAAAAAATTCAACTGTTTCAAAGCGAGCAGTGATAACAGTGTAGGCAATACACTTATCTCTAGCACGCGAGACCGTCTATCGGAAATTTTAAAGATATGCTGTTTTTAAACATTTTTAGTACAATGTGGCATTAACCGAAATGCTATCGAAACGTGCATGTATCTGTTAATGAAAGAAATGCCCGTTTGGAA